GATAATCTTTGTATCAAAATGAATTGCACAAATATTTTGACAAAGAATATTCATTTTGGTACCACTGATCCAAAATAAGATATGCATTTATAGGAAGTGTATTTTTTGAGGGCTGGTGTACACACATGATCAATACATTTTTAAAACAAAACAGAATAAATGCTTCAAATACAAATTTGTTGGTTGCTTCTGTTTATCAATATCTGAATGTCGTGTCCCTCTGTTTCATTTTGACACATGTTTAAAGTCACGAGTTGCCAACACTACTGGCTCAGCACTCAACTTTACAGGTCTCTTGTGACGAAATGTTGGCACTCCTGTTTCATATTGAGGAAGTTCAGTGCTGAAAGCTCGGCCTGCATATTTTTGTTTTGCCAAATTCATTGAAGACCTTTCCATAAATAACACGTGTAAATGTTATTTCCTCTTGGTTGCAGTTCCTTATACAACAGATAAAAACGATATACAATGTGACTGTCGCGGCCATAATTGAACTTCGTGAGACAGTGAGATGGTGGCTTCCTGAAGTGGATGTGGGGTCGGTAAGTCTGGAGCTCTTTGCTATCATCATTTTTCGGGGTGTAAATCTCAAACTTAGTCAAAATTAATACTTTTGAAACAATCAGATGCACACAGCAAGCAATATTTAAATTGCCGTACTTTTTTATGGGTGCTGTAATTATCATATTTATTGAAGATTTTTACACCGGTAGCAGAGTATTGTCACATAAGCCTGTAAATGTTATTTTCTCACGGTACTACGACCCCCTCAGGGGGTTGCTAGTCCCCCATCGGGCGCCTCCCCAGGTTGAGGATAGGCAAATGCTGTTGTAGCTGGCAAGTGTTTGCTTAGCACTCCTGCTTCATATTTAGGGAGTCCTAGATTCACATCTGTGCCCAGAGACCGAATATCCTGACATTTTCAAACTGGAAAAGTAAATAAAAAATATGTACTTAAAGGATTATATTTTATTTCATTGGTTTTAGTATTTGAAATTAAAGTAAATCCTTTGAAGGCTTTATAAAGTCATGTTCATGTAGACCTGCTATTATTACTTTTGATACAGGTTCAACTATTTTAAGATAGGTCCCAGGGATGAATTTCTACTAAAAGGGCAATGAATGTCAGATTCTGTAGATGCAGGGAATTTATTGTCCACATGAGCACCTAACAACAATTCATGTCCCTTCGCCACGCATTTAATGAAACTGAAAATTAATGACCTGCATAAAGTACACTCATCAGGTAGTATATGAATGATACACCATGCAGGATGAGATAGGCAGGACATACAGCACACACAGGAGAGATTATAAATGCTCTGTAGAGGGAAGAACACTCATGAGACAGCACAGACGAGAGGGAAAGATTAAAACATCTTGTATGTGATGTGTGGGTATGGACTGGACTGATTTCAGAATAACTGTTACTTTTCTAATGTGTATGAGGAGTTTTGTAACTTTGTCAATTTGACAAGCAGACACTGACTAATTTGCCTGTCATATCCTCTCTTTCCAGTGTTCGCAGCCTCACCCAACAACACTGAGATGCTTTAAACAGCTGAAAATTCTAGGGGAAGGAGGTAAGTATAAATTTCTATTAGCACTTGCCTATCTCTGCTGATAAATAAAGGCCTGATGTTCTGTAATCCTCTAGATCAATGGGCAAAATAGTAGAAGTAGAAGCACCAACAGCTGTTACTGTAATCAGACATGTGATTATGGTCAGTGGATATCTAACCACAACATTTACAAACTCTAAACCAAATCTTTATTAACAATGTTTGAGCAAAATGAAGCATCAGAAATACAAGACGTCATGGTGTGGTTGAGAACAGTTGGAAACAACTCAAAATTCTTTTGTGCTTACATTAAATCAAAATACACTTTTTGCCAACAATACCATTCTCTTTCTCATTGCTGAATATTTTCTTGAATGTTGTCTGTGTCTTTATCTTGGTACAGATAAAGACCCACAAATTCATTATGTTAGTACACAATCACATAAATGTTTGATATTCTCAAAGGTTTATAAACAATAATGATCTTTATAAAGGGACAGTCTACAAATACCTGAGACCACTATTGAGCAGAAAGAAACAAGAATCATAACCGTGTACCGTTACAGGTTTTGGAAAAGTTTTCATGATGAGGAAGAACTGCGGCGTGGATAAAGATAAGGTATATGCGATGAAAGTCATGGATATACCCATTGACGGCAACTCAGCATATTACCAAACAGAGTTAAAAGTCCATAAACTCTGCCACAGATTTCCATTCTTGGTAGAAGTCTATTACGCCATGAAGACAACGTCCAAGATCTTTCTCGCACTTGGTGAGTACATAAAAAACAATTTCCAGCGTTTCACCTCATTTTTCTAGTTTCGGAATTTCTTAGTTTCTCTTTTTAATTCAATGGTCACTGCCAGCACCTGCAACAGAGGGAACGTTCTTCGTGTCATTCAATATTTTTAGGACCACATTCAGGGTGCCTTCAGGTTTGAGTTAGTTATTACTTTAGACAGACAGACAGACAGTATGTATGATATGGCAAATCCTCCTGCTGAGCGAGGTGGTCTGCTGTACTGAGTGTACGTACATCAGTTTGAATGATTCCAGTAAACACGTGTTGCGTGCTGTGGTGTTGACACACTGTCCTATCATCTTTGCTCAGAACTGATAGCTGTATACAGTACCTATAGTGTACATAGCTGTAAAATAAGTTTAAATTACAATTTGTAGAACGGGTAGCACCCACCATGTCGACCGGAGGAAGAAAGGTCAGCATGTTATTTATTTATTCCTCAAACACCGAGTGCAGTGTCCTGCATGGGCTGTGGGTTTTGTCTCGCAACAGGACCGTCTACAGATTGTGTTTCATCCCTCACTGAGGAACAAATCTGCTGCTTCTTTGTAAACAATCTTTCAGTTTCCAGTCTTCTGCAGAGGATCACATTGCAGTAACTCCATTGTCAAATTCAACAGATAACGCAGTAGCACTCACTGACCCCTAGTATCATTAAGTGTCCTTACAGTAACAATAATGCATTATTATTTTTCCAGACTATTATCCTGGTGGAGACTTGCGCAAATTGCTCTGCCTGATCAATTATTTTACGGAGGCTGAGGCAAGACTGTACCTAGCGGAGATAATCCTGGCTGTGGAATACCTGCATCAAG